GTAAGGATGTTTCAACTGCCTGGGTATTTCTTGTAAGGATGTTTCAACTGCCTGGGTATTTCTTGTAAGGATGTTTCAACTGCCTGGGTATTTCTTGGGGTATCCGTTTAATTTTTTAAAAGTTGAGACCCTGTAATGTGTAGAAAGGAACTTGCATTTCCCAACAGATGAAGAAGGTTCAACTTTCGAAAATAAATTGGGATCAAAGAAAATCGGAGTGTAAAGCAGTTGGAAGTCTTAACAAGAAAGCAATGGCAGAAAAGAGAAAATTGTATGGTTACATGGTTGGGAAATACAGTGAGGATGAAAAATTTTTTTTTTTTTTTTTTTTTTTTTTCCTGGAAAAAAATACTCATAAATAACCTTTCTACCCCACCAAACTTTATTCTCTGCTGATTGAATTGCTTCATGTCATTGATTCAAGGATCAGCTGAAAAATTTGCTGAGGTCAAAAATCGATCTGGTCAATTGGAAGACGGAAACTGCAGAAAGAACTAATTAAAGAAAATCAGTCCATGCAAAAACAACATCCTTCAAAAACACTAGAAGACAAATAGAAGAGAGAAAAAGACACAGGAAAAGCCAGAGTTCTCGATTCCCTGTACCCTCCTACCCTACCATGCAGTGACTGCAGACATCTCTTCAGATCCAACATAGGACTCCTTTCACACAGAAGGAAATGTTGATGAGCATCCCAATATTTGGCAATGAGTTCTACCAATGATGGCGAATTGTCAACAATTGGAGTTTATCAAATGACTTTGTTATAATAAGTTAAACCCTAAAAACTATAATCTATACAATAAAAGAGCTGATTCTGTCATGCGGGCATGTGTATGTACTGTGAGTGTCAAATTCTCTAAGCTCTCTTTCCTCATGTGTCCCAGAGATGTAAACTTTTCCATGTTTTCTTTATGGCTTGATTCAAATAATGTATACTTTCTGACTGACAATGATAGATGTGGAAGTATCCATTTTTAATGTCTTTATTTTCTTAGCAAAATGTTGCAAATTTTACTTTTTGAACAGTAGTGTTGTTTATGAATAATAACTTTGAACAAAAATTATTTATTAGCAAAATCTATTGAAAAATTGGTGAAAAGCCTGTAAAGGCATCGTATTTGTCATTTCTATAGTGAGACAACAGCCTGGGAAACCAAAACCAGGATTTGATTACTTTAATTCAAATTCTCTGACAAAGAATTTACTTTCTGCTTATGTGAGGTAGAGCTGTGAAGTCGTTAGAAATGTGATAGTTGATAATTTTATTTAAATTGAAATACAAATCCAACACAATTTGGCTTCAAGATATGATCATCTGGCTTAATACCAAAACTGTTCATATCTTTCAAATATCTGAATTTCAAAGGATTTTCTGTAGAATCGTTATCTTCTCTTATTTCTGCTCTTAAATAGATTGTAAACAAATATTTTTTAACTTTAGGATTGAGAATCTGGAATTAAAATTAGTATTGGGGCTTTAGTTTATTTTTCAAAACTTCAGACTAAACATTGTGGCTATTATTTTTTTTAACTGGATTTGTAGTTGTACAAGTTAAAGTTTATTTTTATTGTGATAACATAAAGATTATGAATTAACCTTTACCATGCTAATTTATTTATAGAATTGTTTCCCCTGCACCTGGGGTTTTTTTTTTTGTTTTTTTTTTCTCAAGGGTGCAAAAACATGAACACCTACTGTTTTAAAATTGTTATAACTTTTGTTGTAATGTGCATATAGATTTTAATTTTTGTACACTAATAGTAGCTGCTTGTGGTCATCATCACTTTCCTCCACATCACTAGATGTGGTTATCATCTTTGACCACTTCACTGTCAATATCCACTCAAAGCCTTCAAAATCATCGTCGGAGTCCTAATCAAAGAAAAACTCCTGAATAAAAGCTTTGTTGGATATTGACATGGCCATTTTTTTATTACAAAAATATTGTGAAAAAAAATTAACATGGGTTTAATAGATGTTACACCTCATGTAGAATCTAGAATTCAAAATGGCATTGAAAACGGAAGTTTAACCTTGTTTCAAAGCAGTAGTAGGCAATTTCTAGCTTAAAATACTGGAAATGATAGTTGACAAGTGTTTATTTATAGCAACAGTCTCAAGGTGCGTCTAGAGTAGCAAAGGGAGAGAATTCTATCGCAACACTTTTCACCTGCAGCATGGTAACGGTTAAGTCAAAAAAATGCTGTATTCTCAAGGGTATTCTAATGCTGTAAGTAGTTAAAGCACATGTTAGAGATTTGGGACAATCTCATGACATGTCACTTAACAAAATTTTAACTCCTTGTCATACACATTTTATATAAAAGCTTGAACTAGTGTTCCCATCTCTATTGCTATTATCACAATGTTTTGGATGACCTTCATCAAGTCCTCGTCAATCCAGGTAACCTTCAGTAAATTTAGGCTAGTAGATTAAAATGTTGGTGACAGTAGTTGTGAGTTCAATCTCTTGTCCAGATGGGGGAAACACTGAGCAATAACAGAACAGTATGAAATAAGAACAGGACAAAATATCCCTAGACATGGTCAGTGGAATGAGAACAATCTATCCTCATAGGATTCAGGGTTTAACTGGCCAAAACTTTGATAACAACAAAAATGAGGATAATAGTGTAAATAAAGTAAATAATTCCTCTTCCCAGAAATTCAGCCAGAAAATAAATTTTGTTCAATATATGCATTTTTGGTTTATCAATGTCAAGAATCTCATCAATATGCTAAATTTGCTGTAATTTTTCATATATAATAAATATTCCTATACTGTCTCCTGATATGTGTCTATATGTCAGACAAGCAGATAAACACCTTAAGCCAAACATGTGAAACTGGAAAAAGAAATAAATTGAGACTAATTTAGTCTGAATAACAAAATAAAAAGAAAAGTAGAAAAATTATGAAGGGTCCAAATACTGACCATAACTGTGAAACCAAGGATCTGAATGGGTGAAGGAAGTAGCAATTAGTTTGCTTTCAGGAACATGTTTTACAGTTTGCAGAAAGAAAGTTAACATGAAGTGTATTCCCAAGCAATCATACATCTAGGAACTGACCAGGCTCAATGTTGCTTAACTTGGGTAACTAGTGTTTTAATGTATATGGCCATAAGCCCTAAACTTAAAAAAACAAGAGACATGCCTTTTTCAAATAGGATAAATGGGCTTTAGCTTTACTCTAATAGCTTCTTGGAGTTTAATGTTAAAAAGCATGCCTAGCCTGAAGCTGATTTTTCAAGATAATGGAAGTATAGGTTCAATTCCCATTGTGAAGTAGATTTTCTTTAATAAAACTTTTGATCTGTTGAACTGTAGATATTAATTTCACTGCTTTAAAAAAAAAAATAGGATGTCAAGTTAAACACATTTATCCATTAAATGTTAGAAATATTGGATTAAAAAAAAAAAAAAATCTGTTTGTAAATCTGTGTGTGCATTGTGAAATATCTGTGGGAATGCATTATAGATTGAGAAAAAAAATGATTCACTAGTTTGGAATTAATGCAACTTCTATTGGTGAAATATAGCTATGATATATATATATATATATATATATATATATAATCAAAAATTACTAATTTAATTTTCAGTAAATATTAACATCATTGGGACCCAGCTAAAGCAAACCATTCAATTCAAATATCTGGGCAGCATATTTATTGAAAACTGCAAACTAGACAGAAATCAATATCAGAAATCCAATGCAGTCAGTTACCAGTTTGTTACTCTTCTAAAACATCTTAGCATTTCCATGAGCACCAAGTCAAATCTCATCAATGCCATTTTCCTACCAATGCTGACATACCAGTGCCAGACATGGCCCTTAACAAAAACCCTTGAGAGGAAACTGATCACTTGTGAGATGAAATGCCTAAGGAAAGCAGTGAACAAGACCAGGCGAGACAAGATCAGGAATGAGGCAAGATCAGGAATGAGGCAATAAGAGATATGTTAGGAGCAATATCAATCATACAACATATTGAACGACAGAGGATCAAATGGTTCGGACACCTTACTCATATGCTTATCAACCAACCAGCCCTACGAGCATATACCCTCAGATACTCTGGCTGGAGAGCAAGAAGCAGACCAAGAAGACGCTGGAGTGACTTGGTGACAGACACTCTCAGAGCCCAAGAGATATCTCTCTTCCAGGCCACTCTCCTTGCTGCTCACCCTGCAATGCCTAAGAGCACATGTGGAAGGAAAAGCTAAAACTAAAGTAAACACTAACTTAATTTGTATGTTTTTTTTTTTTTTGTTTTTTTTTAAACCTCACTCTTAAAGGCCAGTAGATCTTAAGTTAGAATTGAACTGTTTATCTCTTCATTTTTAACTCCAATAGTTGTCTCCATGTGAAATCTGAAATTTCATTCAGTAATTTTTCTTTTTTTTTCCCCCTCTCCTAATAGGAGTAGATATGTTTGCCTATCATCTGGTTCACACTTCTCCCAGGTCCTTTTGCACAGGAGTAGAGATTCATCCCTTGTTTCCTGTTTATGATTGGTTTTCCAGTCCCTTCTAAAGTCTACTTCAGCTCTATGCTTCCGACGCCTCTGCCTGAACTCAGAAATTTTATTCACTAATTAAATCTTGACCTCTTCAATTCTAAAATTAGCCATCTATCTTTCCTGTTAACTTGCCCTTTCTTATGTTAATACAACTCCACACAGTAACCCTCTACCTTGAGTGACCCATGGGCCTTGCATTGGGTGAACATTAGGAAAGAAGGGGGAAAAAATTTTGTACTGTTATCAAATGTTTTTATTTTTTATTTTTTTAAATTAATCTGTAGTAGAAGTTATTTAATATTTTGTGGTTTTGAAGGAGCATTCTATATTCTCCCAATGAAAAAAAAAAAATTCAGTAAGTGATTTAATAACTTTTTCCTTGAAATGGATGAATAAGATGATATCCCATCATATAATTTAAAAAAAAAAAATATTTGCTTATCACAGGAATCCTTTTTTCTGTCCTTTCAGATGCTAAACCAACTGAAAATGAAATTGATGTGTGGGCGAAAGTCAACGAGGTGTTGCTATGTTCAAATTCAATCCTTGTTGATATGGCAAATTACCATGGTGCTGCCGAAGAAATTCGTTTGGTAAGTTTGAGATGGTCTATACTTTACTCATTTGAATGTACAGTTTTTTTTTTTTTTTTTTAATGAGGATTAGTATCCGATTCCTTGTGGATGCACGTGCTGTAATGGATAGCAATTCCAAATGAGAAATTGGAGAGCCTAGTTCAAATTCCAGTTGAGTTTGATACATTCACTTCCACACAAATATCCTTTGGAAAGGTATGAATTCATCTCCAGTTAATGGTAAATATAAGGACTGACTGGGCCCTAATAGCCGTGTTTAGCAACCAGTCTAGGAGAAGGAAAAATCTGAATTTAAACCAACCTAGAAAGAGTTGATCTCTGTTGGGCATATCTTGTCCAAGACATGCCACTGCTGTGGTACCTCTACAACCTGGTTTACAGAAATTGTGATCTGTTCCCTCGCTTTCTTGAACTGGAATCAGTTATACTTTCTGACCAAGAAATTTACATAATATTAAGTGGGAAGAAATTTTGGAAAAGGGGGGAAAAGAATTATGGGGGGGGTGGAGAGTGGAAAGGAAGGAGGTAAGAAAAAAGAAAACCAGGGAAAAGGAAAAATAAATGCACATATTCAAAGAATGAGGGAGAGATGAAGATGAAAGCAAGACAGGCTTGTTGGCTAATTATAGAGAGAAAATCAGTGAAAGATTCAGTCAGTTATGTGTCATGTGATACACGCTTAGGTGATCACATATCTTTTGATACATGACTGACGAGGCAGATTTTTTTCCCCCGCAATAGGTTGCAATTTCTTTCTGTGGTAGACCAGTTGCCATCCAAGGCAATAGAACCAGGTCTGTCCTGCTATCTACTCTGGGGACAGAAGAAGAGGATTCATACCTTTCCCAAGAGTATCAGCACATAAGTGAATGTAATTGATTCAATTGGAATTTGAACTCGGCTCTCCGATTCCTCAGCCTGAGCCACTATCTGTTACTCGACTGTACAAGATTAAAAGGTCTTGTGATACATTAAAACTATTTACAATGTGATAGAACAAAAGAAAGCTGAGAGAGGATGCAGTGAACAAAAGAACTATCTACTTTTTATTCCTTTCTTGCATATGAAATTAATCCATGATTAGACGAATAATGTAAATTGGGAGAGAGACAAGGAAAGAATGAAAACATAGAGGCAAGAAGTGACAAAAGAGTAAAGACATAAGATAATCTCAGCAGGAAAAAAAAGTGGATTTTATCAACTCTGTATTACTATTCAGTAACTTTTATATAATCTCTGAAATGACTATAAGACTTGGGTATAATAGGATCATTTTAACATTTTCTCAATTGAAGATTCTCCCTAGTTTAAGTGGGTGAAGAGGTTTAATTATAAACCAATGTAGTTTAGGAAAAAAGTAAGGAAACGAAACATATCAATTTATTTAATTGATAAAGTTAAAGACATGAATGCCTTGATTTTTAAATATTTTATTAATAAAATTAATGAGTGTGAAGGAATTAAGAAAAGCAAGCAAGGAAGAGAAGGAGGGTAAAAAAAAAAAATGGAGGAGTGTAGGAGGTAAAAAAGCTAAAAACTGAAAAGAAAACTAGTCATATGAATATATTACTTTTTTTTTTTTTTTTTATGCTTTATCATCAAATCTGTCATACCACACAAATTCTTGTAGAGATTCTTTTAAAAAGAGAGGTTTAAAATTCAACTTTTAAATGTTGTTCTCTTGTAACCAGGGAACAGCAGAGAAAGAATAACAGCTTTGAATGGTGTTGTCAGCCATGGTCTCTCATGTATGCTAATTTTCAACATATTTCCTTCTGAAAAGGGGCCACTTTAACATTTGCTGCACTAAACTAGTCTCTGAAGGAGAATGTTAGTGATTCATACTATGTTTTTTGCTGTCTGCTATATATTGGGTTCAGATGTGATGATGACATCATGTTTTTTTTCTGTTGAATGAATAGATTCACTAAATAGATAAACAAAACTCTTGCAGTGGGCATTTTTTGTGGCCAGTGATGACATCATGGTTTAAGACAGTTTTGTAGCTGTAATGCTAGAGGAGAGATCATCAGTAGAAGGACAAAAAGATAACATTATTCCTTCCAGCATAGAGTTGACTAATATTATTTTGAACTCAACGAGGTTCCTTCCCACATATGTAATGTAAAGATATAAGTTAACAATAAAAGATTATGTAGCTTTTCAGGTTGAAGTAATTCATAATCAGTATGTTACAGAATCTCTGAAACCATTGGATCAGACATATTTAAAAAATTTTCTCATTTTGGAACATGTGTGTGTCTGTGTATTAAATCTGACAATTTCTAGGTCAACATTTTCCCAAATTGTCTTATAAATTTACTATTCTGTTACCTTCTCATTCATTCAATTTTACTGGTGTGTGTGTGTGTGTGTATATATATATATATATATATATATATATATATATAATGAAATAAATCCTAAAGAGCCAGGAACAACCTACCTAGGTTTCACCTAAACTGATCTTCAGGGTAAGTTGGCTAAAGAAGAAATGACATGAAACTGTATTTATTGATAAAACCACTAAAAACTAATTAGCATAAAACCTCATGGCAGAAGACGATAGAAAAAAAAATAACTCAGAGCCTCTATACTAGGTTCCTCCATTAGGTCACGTAAAAAAGCAGCATATCATGATTAAAAAACGCTCGATTGTAACGAGGTGATGACAGATTACTATGGATGATCAAAATTGACAATTTTTGCAAAGTAAGCGAACGTGGGTTTTCGTTTTTAACTAGTACTTTTTAAATATTAACATTTTTATTCGGCAATTATGTAATATCTATTTTTTATTTCATACTTTCTTAATTAGGTAATTATTTAAAGTTTTTTATTAATTAGATAATTGTTTAAAATTTTTTAAGGATTATGTCATGTATACATTTCCATACGTAGAAGTTATGAACGTTTTTTTTTTTTTTTTTAAAGTTTTTCTTCAAATTATTTTAAAAATATTTGGGGTCAAACGACTTATGTGCTTTTCAAATTTCGATTCGTAAATTTACTTTTTCATTAACGTTATCATTGCATTACGTGCTTGAAAGCAATAAAGAATTTTAAATGATTTTTGAAGTATTAAGTTAATGAAAAAATTCTAAAAATTTGTAAAGTACATTATTCATCGAAAAAATTTTATTTCTTCACAAAATAATGTCCTTAGTATAATGTATTTATAAAAACAGGTGAAAGCTTTTCTAATTAATTAATGTCATAGTTTTTTACTTTTTTTTTTTTTTATAATTCAGAGCAGATTTTCTATGATATGGGGTACTGTTTTACAAAAAAAAAACTGGTGATTTACTTTCTACAAAGAGTCCTGTTTATAACTAATAAAACAAATCCCGCACTTGAAGATTTAATTTCTCAATTTCATGAAAATATGTAAGTGGGTGGAAACATGTTAAAAAAAAAAAAAAAAATCTTTTTAACAAGATTTTCTAAAAAAAAAAAAAAAAAAAAATTTCAAAAATAATTTCATTCATTTGTGAATAAGTCCTGAAAGTTTCATTAAAATCCAACAATTATTTGATTTTTGCAAGAATTTTTAAACTTAGGTATCGAAAATTTATGCCAAAAGTGGAGAAACCTACTCTATAACAATAACCAGGATTTCCTATGCCTACACCTATTTAAAAATCTCACATCTTTGATTTAATAAATCATTAGGTTCATTGCTAATTTTTCCTCCATACTTAATAAGCAATACTTGTCCCCTGCTTTACACTTATGACATTTTTTTTAGTATTTCCCATTTTGAAATGGGGTCAATACCATCTTCCTGTTTAATATTCCATATGTATGTAGACAGGCTACTGCTGTGTTTGTAATTTTCATGTTTAAAGCTACTTAAATGATTGTAGTAATGCTTTTTGAAATTACCTTGGGTGGATCCTATATAAAATTTAACATTTTTATTACTACTATTAGGTTTATTTCTGTGTATTTCAACTTTATAAACCACACATTCTTGTTGGCACCTGCCCTTAAATGGGCAGGCATCCTTATTTCTACAGTTACATTTGGCGGGGTTGGAGTGTGTTTTGTCTATCATTTTTTTTCTGTTATATTTATTAAGTTAGCCATGTTCAGCATACAACTATAACTTAATTTAACATAATTTCTGTTGAAAATCTTGTACAATATGTTTGTTGGGGGGAAATTCTTTTTTAGTAATTTAAAAAAATACTTTTCCTATTTTAGTTGTAACTGTTAAATTATATGGGAGGTTAAACCATAATATCTTTCTGGCCCTATTTTTGTGTTTACCTTGTGTGCTAGGGGAGTTATGAGTATCAATATATGTCAATTTACTTTTGTGTCCACTATTTTCCAATCTTTTCATAATCTTGTTTATTTTTATTAAAAATATTAGCAATCGATGAATTAGACAATCTGACTAATTCCGTTAGGTATATGTTTTAAAACCTGCCTGGGGTGGTTTGACCCTACATCAATATAACGCAGCTGTTGGTTGCTTTTTCTAAATGGAGAAATTGTACCATTATGTAAATTGAGGGTAATGTATAAAATAGTGACTTTTAAATTAGTTTGTATTTCTAATTTAAATCTGAATTTTTTGAACATCCAGTGTAATTTTTTACAGATTATGTCACCTTTTCTGGAGGTGCATTTATCTAATATAACTATACTATTGTCTCTGTATATACTATGTTTACTTGGGTCAATAAACTTATTCAAATTATTTAATAGGAGGCACCCTACTAATTTGCATACTTCAGCTCCTTCATATGCCCCCATAGGGTTGTCAAAATTGCTGCTGTCCCCTTTTCTTAATCCATAACACATCGTTGTAGTATAATAACGACTTGCGGCAATGCCTAATGACATCAATTTTATCATTAGATATTGAAAAGTACTTCTTTTTATATATGTAGCAGACTTCAGTTTTGCAAATACACCACTCATCAGGGTCAGATAAATCTATTGAATTAACAGATGGTCTATATAAGAAATGCCAATCACTGACTCCC